CTTCCAGATTTCGACTCAGTGTTGACAGACTTAACAGCAGAGCTTGGACAGACGGTAAAGCTCGCCTGCAAGGTCACTGGTGCCCCAAAACCACAAGTCACCTGGTACAAAGGTAAGGCACCAAATCTTGGGTGTTTCCCCTCTTGATGTCTTCTAAGAAGTAAAGTAATTCATTCACGTGACTCTCACAAACAGACGGGCGAGCTGTGGAAGCGGATCCTCATCACATCATCATTGAGGACCCGGACGGCTCGTGCACACTCATATTGGACAACATGACGGCAGACGACTCTGGCCAGTACATGTGCTTCGCCACCAGCTCTGCGGGCAACGCCAGCACACTAGGCAAAATCACAGTGCAGGGTGAGTGACGGACGTGACTAACTTGGTAAAGCTGGTTTCACAAGATTTCTTTAAATTTGTGTCGATTTTGATTCCGTATCTTGCAGTACCTCCACGTTTTGTGAATAAGATCAGGAACGCCACACTCTTTCCAGGAGAAGATGCTCAGTTCACCTGCACCATTCAGAGTGCACCAAGTCCAAAGATAAGGTAGTGACTCCGTTTAAACAAAAATTAAATGTCATATTTATATTCATTTATCAAAGAATTCTGGAAAAAAATTATCACCTTTCCAAATATATAAGCAGCACAACTGTTTTAACATGTTTCTTGAGCAGCAAATCATCATATCAGAGTGATTTCTGAAGGATCATGTGACACTGAAGACTGGAGTAATGATGCTGAAAATATTAAAATATTCAATCAGATTTATTTTACCAATGCCAAACTTTTATATGTTTCAATAATGAGACATCAAGGCATTCCATAAATGACTAAACCCAATAATGTCATCCATTTCACTGACAAAATGTGTTGGGTTAGTGTTAAGCCATGGCATTTCCCTGCACAGATGGTTTAAGGATGGTAAACTACTGACAGACCAGGAGAAGTTTCAGACATACACTGAATCACGCAGTGGAGTGTTGGTTCTTGTTATCAAGAACCCTGGAGAAAGAGACCTCGGACACTATGAATGTGAGGTATGGACATCCTTACTTTAGTCCTTTCAGTTCTTACTTCACTCCAAGCATGAGAAATTAAGCCAATGATCATCATATTCTTCATTTGCAGCTGTCGAACCGTCTGGGCAGTGCCAGGTGTGCGGCACAGCTGATCACTCCTGCTGTGGCAAAGGCTGGAGAACGTAGAGCAGATCAGGCCATCACTATAGAAGGTACGAGACACCTGTCAACACACATATGCCACCGAATTAAAAAACCATAAAAGTATGACAGCCTTTCCCATCTGTTATGATTTCACTTACTAAAAAGGGATTAAAAAACATGTTATTAATGGTTTTAATAAAAGGGGCTACTATGAAAGATCGTTTCATGGTTCCATAAAGTATAACCATTGTCACATAAATGTATGACCATGTATTTTTCATAGGGGTGTAACAATATATCATGCCGCAATACAAAAATGCAACAATACGTATCGTGGAAAGTGACAATATGTATCGTGGATGGTCCCCCCAAAATAAAAATTCAAGATTTCTGAGTTTTAGTGTACAATATATAATGTTGATTATAATGTATAATAATGCAATGTGGGAATATTTGTGGGTCCTGATAATGCCAAATGTCTGATGTTACCAGTAAAAAGTGTCCGACATTATTTTAAATATATCTAGTCAATGAAAGCGCGCAAGCATATTCATCTACAATAACTAGTAATTTCAGCTTCAGAATCATGAATATTGCTATTCTGGTGTCACCATTGTCCTTTTACCATATGTCTTGGAGTATCGCAATAATATCGTATCGTGAGTTAAATATCGTGATATGTATCGAATCGTGAAATGAGGGTATCGTTACACCCCTATTTTTTCATATTTCAGCATCATATTTCTACCTCTTTGACAAGCAGTGAATTAACTGAAATTGAATAGCTAAAATAAATGTGATGTTTGTTTGATTATGCAACTCATTTAATATGTTGTTTTTCAACTAGTAACGGAACAAGAGACGAAAATACCGAAGAAAACCATAATTATGTAAGTCTCAAACATGCACCTAAACACACAAACTGCCATTCAAAAGTTTGGGGTCTGTATCTGAATGTTTTTTATTAATACTTTTACGAAGCAAACACAAATAAATGCTGTTCTTTACATTTTCTATCAATTAAATAATAATAAATGTTTCTTAAACACCAAATCATCATATTAGAATGATTTCTGAAGGATCATGTGACACTGAAGACTGGAGTAATGATGCTGAAAATTCAGTTTTGCACCAAGGGAAAAAGTTACATTTCAAAATATGTTAAAATAGTTTATCTTAATATAGTATAATACAATTCTTCAAAATGTATTATACAAGTATTGATAAGTGTAAACCGGGATGTAAATTTGATGGCAGATTTTTGTCTACTGTGTGCATCTATCATGAATCATACTCACAAATATGATTTTTTCCACTTTAAGCGAGGAGACCATCACCACAGTGGTGAAGAACACTCGTATGAAACGCCATGCGTCCCCAAGACCATCACCCATGGGAGCTTACCGCTCAGAGACGTCCACTCCCGAACCGCCCAGACAGAGACGAACCCCGGCCAGGAAGACCGTCCCGACACTGTACGTCCAAGATCCAGAGGGTGCCACGGCCAGGAACCCGAGATGGGTGGAAGTCGAGGAAATAATCGAGTATAAAGTGAACAAATCACCCAAGTTACCAAGGAGAAGGGGCGTTTCCCCCGGCAAGTTGTCACCACCTGGAAATCCAAACACTAATAACTCCAACAACAAGTTAGTAGAGGGTGCCGAAATGCTTCTACAAGCATCTTCTGGTACGGATGAAGAGGAAACTGTGTCTGAGGTTGACAATGTGACGATCTACCCAAGCGTTACAGCAGATATTAGTGACCCGTGTGTCTTGGTCGACTCTGATGAAGACGAGGAGGGAACTATCGTCCTGGAGCCCGAAGACGACCAACTTGGTGCGCGAGACTGCAAAACACTGACTGATGGGAATCGGGTTCTTACTCTTGAAGACCTCGAGGACTACGTCCCTCAGGAAGGCGAGACTTTCGGCAGCCGTCCAGACCATCACGTCCCTGTTGAGAAGCCGAGTGAGATCTCGGTGTTGCAGAGAGAAATAAACGAGTCGGTCATCGGAAAACCCATTCTGCTGCACGTGGGGCGTCCAGTGGCGTCCGCAAAGCCTCGCGTGGGTTTCTTCGGATCCTTCAAGGAACATATTTCCAGCATGTTTACCCCAGGTTCATCCGTGAGCAGCAGGCGAGAGAAGACCATCCCTATTCATGTGACTGAAGAACCAGGCCACGCCAGTAGCTTTGCGAGGTTTGACGTCCAGCCGACGTACTGCTCCGAGGTCCAGAGAGGAAAGGAGGGAGGTCTGCAGAGCTTCAAAACGCAAGTGTCCGCGCAAACCTGCAGCTACACACCAACCGGACAAGTCACTCTTCAGATCAGCAAGAAGAAGCCGGTCGAAAAGCAGTAATCGAGAGGCATCGAATCTTCGAAGCTTGTTTCCGGCGTGCAAAATCAGGACATGGAGTAGCCCGAGTCTTAAATGGGAACACTTCTGTAAAATCTTGCAATCTAATTCAATCGCAAAGCTTCTGGATCATTCCATGTTGAGGCGACACTTTTTGCATAGGATTCACTCGATGCCTTTCTAAGACTTTCTAGTTCCTGTGAGCGTGAAATCAAATGTGCAGCTGCACTTGGGAACTACAAGTTTAACATGAATGTGCAAATATGGACAGTACGGCTGTCTTTTTGTCTAAAGGACATACTAAGAAATACACAAGAAATCCAAATTCTCCAACAATAAGATTGTGGTTTACCTGACTGTAATTTATGTGCTGTATCTACATTTATACACTGGCCAAAACAAAACAAAAAGTCACTGTTTGGATTTAAATAGGCAAATGCTTAAGAGTCTATGCATTGTATTATTTTTATGTTTGGGAACAGTTCTTTTAAACCTAGTTGATGGAGAGTTTAGCATTTCCTTTCTTAAACAACCCTGTAGGAAAACAGCCTGATGAATCTTGACATTGTCATCCTGGAATATGGCCATGATGTGTCTTCCTATATGGTTGTTTTAAAAAAATTAAAAAGCTACACACTCCATCGGTTAGGGTTAAAAGAACTGTTGCCAAACTTATAACATGATAGATCCATAATCACTCAATAATGATCCAATCATAGACCCTTAACCCTAAAACCGTATTCTGGACAATTGTGGGCAAAATAGTTGATTTATTTTTAAAAAATACTTCCCTAGATCTGAGCGGCACAAGACTTGGCTACTTTTCCTAAGTTTGCCTCCTGAACACACACAATTTTTTTTTAACTCAATTCTACAATGTTAAGTGGGTGAAAAAACCTCCTTAATCTTGTATTTGGGTCAGAAATGGGCACACATAGAAATGAATGGGGAAAACTGTAATTTAGAGCATTCTAAAATAAGCCAAAATAAGACAGCAAAGTCACTTCATCTTTAGGTTTTAGCTCTAACAACTTATTAGAATGATATTTTAATGTAGTTAAAAAAATAAGCATAATTTACATATAAAATATGGTACTTTTTGAAGTAAATAAATTCAAAAACACCCCCAAAATAAAAAATAAAAAACACCATAAATGGATAGACAAAACTTTATCTAAGACAGTGATATAACATTTATAATAAATAAAAATTAGGATCACACTTCTGTGCCCACATTTGTCCACAATTACAGGATTAAGGGCTATAAAGTGAATACGGTTTGAGGGCTACTTATTTGCCTATTTAAATCCAAACAATATTGCTTATTTTGGCGGGTCAATGTAGTAAGAAATACTATGTCAAGAAATCCAAATTAAACTTCTTTGGACTCCGACAATAAGATTGTGGTTTATCTGAATGACATGTATGTGCTGTATGGAATTAATGTACCTCAGCATTATATCTACACATATTCAGTATAAAATATTTGAAAATCCGGATCAACTTTTTCTGTCAAGTTGATTGCACTAGTTCGGAGAATCGGAGGTCTATGTTAATGTATCAAAAACTTTGGATATGTCATCTTGCAATGAAGACTATTCAGTGTGGTCAGCATTTTAGTGTTGAGATGTGAATGTATGGGGTTTTGTAGACGGACAAAAGAATAGTGGTGGGAGATTTTTAAGACTTAAGAAACATAAACACAAAATCTATTTAATGACTTTAGAAGATTTATTTTAAAAAGTATTTCTTGTGCAACATGACTTTAAGCACATAGTATTTACAGATTTAAAAAGTTTTGAGATTTACTGGAGTAATACTATATATATATATTAAACGTGTTTGAACTTAAAATTTTATCAACCAAAATTTGCATGTGTAACATAATTTGTGTTGTTTTGGTGGATCACATGGTTTGAAAGGTTTTGGTAAAAGCAAAATAAATTAGGAATGCCAAAGGTGTTCAGCTGATAAAAGAAAGAAAGAAAAAAAACTTGAATAAATATAAATAAAAATGTACATCTTGAAGTTCTGATGTTGTTGCTCTAAAAAATAAAGAGTATATTTGGATGTGTATTATAAACTGATATCACATGATATTGATATTAAAGAAATACAAGTAAAAAAAAAAAACTTTCAGTTTACGATTTACTGTCTATATTGTGTATGGTGAAAATCGTCGGACACGCACAGTTGCTTTCAATATTGCACTCTCATTTATTCATTTCACTCTAGACATGCTTACCTATGTGTGTAAGTACACATCTTCACTGTATACATACTAAAGTATGTATACACCAACACACACATAATTAAACATGTAGAATTGTACATATATATTTATATAGACGTATAAATTTACATGTACGCACATTTATAAAAGAGTGCACACAATGCACTCTTGCACACACACGCGCACACACTCGTACACAAATGTCATGCATCTGTGGCTCAATGTTTGTCTCCTGTACGTGAACACGCACGCACTCACAGACGCAAACGTGTGTGTGTATATAATCAGACATACTTCATATCCAAAAAGGTTCCTTTGAAAACAACACCAGGTTGTGATTTTGGACACTTCTTTTTCTTCAATTTTTAAAGCTGAGAATTAAAATGAAACGGAAAACAAACAAAAAAATTAACGAGAAGGCGTGGTGCCGTTTCGTCCGATCATAACCGCGGGTAAGGGGGTCAATTTGCATAATGTATACAGGTTAAGATTTTCTTTCCTATATTTATTGTATTTTTTTTTTAATAAAGATCTTTTTCTCTTTTTATATAAACAAAGCAGAAAAAACAAAAACGAGAAAAAAAAAGAAAAGAAACTAAACTCTACAGAGTAGGTCCCCATCCACAGTCCCTTCTGCCGACAGGGGTGACATCAAGCTGTACAGCGCAGTCAAAAACATATGTATCAGCTTCATTTACAGGTACAGCCATAATCAAGGCACAAAGATCTACAAGTAGATTTTTTTTTACTCTCTTTCAATAAAGTTGTACAAAATAATATAACATTTTATAGTCTGTACAGGAAAGGAAAGGGAAAAAAAAAAACAATTCAACCTTGCACAGTCTGTACAAGATACGAACCTAAAACAATAAGAAACAGGGGCGTTTCTTGTCACGGACGTGTTGCCGTCATGTTCTCGAGAGCAAACCGAGGCTTCGGCAATGTTCCCGGAGCCCCGCCTCCTCGTTTCAAACGCCCCGCCTACTTCCAATGAAAGGGGGCGTGGTCATTCCCACCATCCTCTGACCTGTCCGCAAGTGGGAGTGGGACAGAAATTCATGATGTGATGCTACATTGTGTGTCCATCTTCGTAAAGAAAAACGTCAGTCAAAACCGGATGGAAAAGTGCATTACTTCACTTCGTTTTCCCAGTGTTCGACAACCCCTAGCCCCCCCGCCCCGTCCCCGCCTCTGTCCCGTGGGCGATCTTCAGTGTTCAGAAACAGAAAGAGCAGCAGAGAGCCCTGTAGGTCAGAAGATCAAGGTTCGGGGTGCGAGACTAGGACTCCTGGAGGTCACAAGGTGATGCGATCTTCATAATCTGGCAGGAGCCAGAAAATATACACAACGATATCATTTTTTTGTTTTAGCAAAATAAAAAATAAAAAATAAGGAGGTAGCCAGAGGCTTCATGGAATGGCAAAAATAAAGGCAATCCAAATAAAAACGTGGGGGAAAACCCAGTGACCCTCTCCGCCGATCGAATCACGAGTTGAAATAAAACGAGTTAAAAACCGAAGTGTGGTGTGCCAAACGTCAGTAGTATTCTTTGTCTGCGGAGTTTGGAGACGCGGTGGGTCCCGCCGATCACAAGAGCTCGTACTGCCGCAGGTGCATTCTCTGGATGATGTCTCGGCAGTCGTTGAAGACCCGGCGGATGTTCTCCGTGTCCACCGCACATGTAAAATGGGGATAACAGTAGTGACGGCCGTCTCCGCTTTCTGTGCTGATCCTCTGTGAAAGGAGAGGTGGACTAACGGTTAGGCGTTTCGTATCGTTACTAAAAATTATTTTGATGTTTACAGGTAATCCCCCAAAAATGTGTTCGTAATTCAAATTCATTAAGGAAAAAAAACCCAACTAATTATATAAATATTAGGGCTGTGCAAAAGTTAATTGCGATTAATCGCATCCAAAATAAAAGTCTGTGTTTACATAATATATTTGTGTGTGCTGTATATAATTATTTTGTATATATAAATACCTATGCATGCATGTATATATTTAAGAATTATTTGCGCTTAAATTCTTATATATAATAATACATAATCCATATTATATAAATATAAATATTTCATATATGAATAACACATTTTCTTAAATATATACATGCATGTGTGTGTAATTTATATATACAAAATAATTATATACAGCACACACAAATATATTATGTAAACACAGACTTTTATTTTGGATGCGATTAATCGCAATTAATTTTTGCACAGCCCTAATAAATATATATTATAATTATTGTTTAATAATTAATTATTATTATAGTAATATTTACTAAATATATTTTAGTATAAATAAATAAAAATATAGATTTAAAAATCATGTTTTATTTTTGTTTTCATTTGTTTTTTTTAAACTTGATAATTTTACCATTTAATTAATTATTCGCTTTTTTTTATCAAACCCACAAACCCCGAATTGCATGATCTACAGTACACAACCGAGTCAATCCAATGATTGAGAGTGGGGATGATGAATGATTAATGCTGAAAATGAAGTAAACAGCACGTTTGTTCTTTGGGTGTCCACAAGATGGCACCGACTATCAGTTTACCGGATTAAGTGGCTTGTGCAGAAAAATTTTGCTAAAATAGATTATAAACTGCCCGAAAAAGCACAACAAAGTGAATCAGTCTAAACCGTGACTGCAATAGACAATTAAAAAATACTAACCAGAAACTCGTCACGAATGAAAAACTTGGCTCTTGTCACTCTGGGATCTTCACCTGGTTCAGGAGTTACTAAAACAGAAGAGTCGACAGATTAACACACAGGGAAGTTGACACTGACCCGCACATCACTCAGTCGATTCGAGGTCAAGGTAGCATTTATTGTCTCCCTTAGCAGTTCACAAAACTGAATAGTGCACAAGTCATTTGGACTACGTTTATGGAGCTTGTATACCTTTAACCCAAAGATGTAAATTATCGAAAACTTTGTTTCTGGGTCTTTAGTGATGTGTGTGTCTGGGTGAAAAGTCTCACCTTTATCTGGTATGGTGTAACAAGCATATTCAGGGAAATAATCTTCAATTTTAGATTTCCCAGCTAATACTTTCTCTGCCAGCATGTCCTGTTTGTTAAGGAACAATATGACAGAAATTGTTCGTAACCATCTGCAGAAAGAAAGGGGGAAAAAAATCCAGAGTTAAGCTTGCGCTCACACTTAAAAGCAAGCTGAAAATAAAGAGAGAAAATAAGAGGTTTCACCTGTTGTTCCAGATACTGCGAAAAAGAGCAAGTGCTTCCCGTAGCCGGTTTGTGTTGTTGTCTTCCCTTATGACCATGTTGTAGCTGCTGCTCGCTACCACAAAGATGATCGCTGTGACGTCTGCAGAGAAACGGCCAATCAGATCCACACAAACTCAATATTAGTAGAGGACTTCAAATATCAAAGTATGTTAAAGATCACACAGCAGTGCCTCTATTATGCTTTTTGGGATATTATCTTTCATGTAGTGTGTGATATGACTTTTTGCGAATGTTAAATGGAGATAAAGTCTCTCAAAAGAAATAAATCTCATTCTGAACTGGCTGAAACGAGTCGACCTTGGATGTGTGTAAACCTGCTGTAGGAGACTTAATAGGGGCACTTGTTTAACTGGTGTAAGACACATAAATTCACACACTCAGATTCACATACCATTAAAACACTGAATCCATTTTCTTCTTTCGTCTCTCTGACCTCCGACATCAAACATACTGGAGAGAGAAGAACAGAGACGTGAGGTTTATAGGAAGTGAAATGAGTCCCTCTAGTGGACATACGAAGACATGGCAACACTTTATCGAAACTGTATAGTCTTTAAAATGTTTTTAATGGAGCTTTTTAATAAGTGAACTCACTGAAAGTTGACTTTGTCTACTTGAAATCGCGTCTCAAAGATCCCTGATGTTAACACTCTGCAGCGAAGCAAGTCCTGAAAGAAGAAAGGTTGAGAGAAAGAGTTAGGCTAGGACAGTTTTTGGAAAATAAAGAGCGAGACATTTCCACAAAAAGCTGTCTCTCATCACAACGGTGTGTGTTTTTGAAAAAGCTCAAACAGTACCTGGTCTGTTGGTGTGTAATCGCTTTGTCTTACTGCGTCAATCCGGTCAAGAAAGCTGTAAAGACACAAATGAAGAAAAAGTTAAATCGACTTTACACAAGTAGGTTTTTCATTAATAAATATATTTTCATGACCAAACTACAGCATTCATATTTCATATCATATCTTTATCTATCCATCCATCCATTCGAAGGTTTGAGGTCTGTAAGATTTTCTTAAAATGCACTGAGGCTGCATTTGTTTGATAAAAAAAATAAATAAAATAAAATAGCTGTTTTCTATTTGAATATATTTTCAAAAGTAATTTATTCCTGTGATCAAAGATTTGCTGCACAAGAAACATTTCTATTTATTATTATTTTTTATTCATTATTTCTATTTATGTTGAAAACAGTTGCGCTCCTGCATATTTTTGGGAAACCGTAATACATTTATACTAGGGATGGGCAACGATTAAATCGCATCCAAAATAAAAGTTTGTGTTTACGTAATATGTGTGTGTGCACTGTGTATAATTATTTTGTATATATAAATACACACACATGCCTGTATATATTTAAGAAATATTTGCATGTATATACTTTATATATATTTATACATAATTAATATTATGCATAAATATTTGATATATTAAGAACACATTTTTCTTAAATATATACATGCATGTGCTCGTATTTATATATGCAAAATAATTATACACGGCACACACACATATATTATGTAAACACAAACTTTTATTTTGGATGCGATTACTCGTTGCCCATCCCTAATTTATACACATACACATCTCATATATATACAAGCATGTGTGTGTATTTATATATATAAAATAATTATACACAGTGCACCCACATATATTATGTAAACACAAACTTTGATTTTGGAATTGCAATTAATCGTTTGACAGCCCTAATATATATATACATACACACACACACACACCAGATCACTAACCTGCAAAAACAAATGATATTATAGTCACAAATTAATATCAAAAGACACTGCTCAAGTACTACACTAGAAAAGAATATGAAATCTACACAATAGTCTTCAAAAACACTTTGATTGTGTCTCAAATGAGATTTGGTTACTTTCATCAATTCAAACGCTATTAAAAGTGGCAAAAACTATCAAAGAAGAAGCAACGCTCTCATTCTAACAATGCCATTCGAAGGTCTAGTCTAGATATACCTGTTGCTGTATCCGAAACATTCACAGGACCTGGTGTGATATATATATATATATATATATATATATACACACACACACACACACACACACTCACTGGCTGTGAATGAGAAGTGAACCCCTGAAAGCATCCCTACAGCAAGTACGCAGCTGAAGAATGTTAGATAACAAGCCCATATCTTTCTCTTACTTCCCTGCAGAAAGGCAGAATATTAGCCCAACACTCTGTGACCATCATGTGATATTAGTGCTATCAGCACTAACACAGACAAATATAGACTCATCCCACAAGCTTGTGACAACAAGACAATCTGTAACGACATTGCCAAAAAAAAAAAAAGAAAAGAAAAAGATAAAAAGATTAAGAGAAATAGGTTTGTGTGGAGATCCCGACTCTTGCTTTTTTATGATGGAGCATTTCTTTCAGATGTGAAAATACATATGATAATTAGTAATATTTTATACTTTGTCAATACTTTTAACTCATGAATAGCAAGGATAGATCAATTGAAACAAAAGTGAAAGGTAAAGACTGTTTTAAAGTGACTAAAGATTTCAAATCAATGCCCTTATAAAACCTTCCATTCATCAAAGTTTTTAACATTGATAATAAAAAGAAATGTAATTACGGCAATTACGATGGCTCAAGAAACAAGATTTCAACTTGTAAAAAGCATTCACGTCCTTGTAGAACTCAGAATTACCCAGTTTACAAGTCAAATACCACGAGACCGCCGAACGTCACGTTCGAGACAACAGATGAACGAAGCAGAACACTGACTTCTGAAGGATCATGTGACACCGAAGAAAATTCAGCTTCGATCACAGGAATACATTATATTCTGAAGTATTTTACAATAGAAAACATTTATTATTTAAAAAGAAATGTAAACATTATATTATTTTAAACTGCAATAATATTTGACATTGTATTTTTGATCAAATAAAATGGTCACCATAAGAGACTTTGCAACCAGACCCCAAACTCCATGACCCTTGACCCCAAATGTGCAATTAAACTTCAGAATTTAAAATCATATTCTGGGTTAAATACATGCTACTGACCACAGAAATATACAATATTTATCTAAATAAATATAGATATTTGCCACTAAACATCTAAAGTCTTTCAAATATACCTGATCGTATTATCATCTTTAATATTGTAAATTAAACCTTCAAAGAAAAAGAAAAAAAATAATAATAACGATGAGCATTTCTTTGCATTTTGTTTTGCGATTTTTCCGAACAGATAACGACAGATCGGAACAAGAACATTGTAACGTTTGACAACTGATAACAACCTCAACAATTAAGTCAGCAAAACATTGCAAATTATAATAAACACACACTGAATGGCCTGTGTTGATACAGAAGAATCATCTGTTGCTGTTATCTTTGGCGTGAGCAGTTTCATAAGGTGGTGGGGACAAAATCGCCCATACAAAAATGTAAAAAACACCTATGCATCCCAAAATGCACTTCACCACCATTAAATATGGCCTTGCGTTTCCAGTGTTGGCCTCCAGAGGGCACATGTCGGATCTGTGAAGTCCAGCGATCAACCAAAACATCTTTCTCTGAATAAACCGTGACCATACATCTAGAGACTATAAAGAATCTCTCTTTCTCCACATGAGGTGGGCCGAGGCGTGTGTGTGTCTAAGAGAAAAGCAGAGCTAATTGCGGGACAGACTGTCTATCAGCCATACAGGATGAACTCGGTATTGAAGAGATTTGCACGTCGAGTCCACCGACCGTCATCCAAACATATTCCACAGAACAAAAAATATACTGACAATCACAGACTGACTCATCAAATGTCGCTTTTTGCGTAGCATCATAAAGAACAACTTCATCTTAATCGGATTTGAAGCTAAAACCAAATATATTCCATTTGATTATGGTATTAAAAAATATATAATACAAATATATTATTATATAAACAAACAAAACCAAATAATGATTTTTATACAACTAATTTTCTATGACATTAAATATAAAATTCAAAACTTTAGAATTCTATAAAAACAAAACAATGGTAACTTTTTGCACTTCATTAACTAACATTTACTAACAATGAGAAATATACTTGTTACAATGTTTATTAATCTTAGTTAATAAAAATACAACTATTCATTGTTAGTTCATGTTAGCTCAAGTCCATTAAATTAAAAAAAACCTTGATTTTCTTAAATAATAAGGAAATGTTGAAATTAATATGAACTAAGATTAATTGCTTTAGAAGTATTTTTCATTGTTAGTATGTATATATATATATATATATATATATAGTTTATTAGTTAACACTTTACAATAAGGTTCATTAGCTAACATTAGTTAGCATGAACTAATGATGAACAGCGCTTATACAGCATTAATTAATGTTTGTAAACGTTAATTTCAATATTTACTAATACTTTATTAAAATCTTGTTAACATTAGTTAATGTGCTGTGAACTAACTAACATCAACGAAGATTAACAAATACTGTTACAAATGTATTGCTCATGGTTAGTTCATGTTAGTTAATACATTAACTATTGTTAACTAATGAACCTTATTGTAAAGTGTTACCGTTAACATGAATACACACACACACACACACACACACATATATATATATATATATATATATATATATCTCATGTGTGGCATGACAATCAGATTTCAAAGATCAAAATGAAGCATTGTAAAATAGTTATTTTGAACGTGTTTATTCGAATTTCGTCGCTCTTCTGCTGAAAATAACACGTCTCACACGGTTAATCTGATTCATCATTGTGGTTCTTGCTAGTCTTGAGAATGTTCTGTACCCAAGATAAGATAAGACAAGCCGAGATAATAAAGCCCAGATTGTTCTCGATGGGCGCTTTGTACGCGGTTTAGGAACATGAGTTTGATTCTAGATCACAGGGGAAACAAGAAATTGTACCGGGAGTCATTCCAAAACCTGTAAATCCAGTTCACACTGAACAATATGGGAATGTTTGAACACGTTTCACATGTCCTATTGAGTACAACGGCTGTACGGCTGGGAGTATCGGTGCAAGGTTTCTCATTAGATCAGAGTGTTTTACTGCCCGCCCTTTTTTCCAGCACTACTGGTTTCATTTCCATTCAATTTTTTCCCGTAGGTTTTTTTGGGGGAAAAAAGTCGCCATGGACCAAGCCAATCAGCTACAAGCTGAATCACAAAACGAAAACTTTGATTTGAAGCTAAATAAGTTTTTGAAAACAAAAAAGATACAAGACTGTGTACTTAGTGAGGGAAATAACTACAATCCCAAGCACTGCGAACACCACAATCAAATTGAAAACGATGGATAAATATAAAACGACTCATTTACAAATGTTGACATGTCTAAACAATACAGTAGTTCCAGTTGCATAGTTCGCCGGTGCTGGGCTAGCGCGAGTCAACGGTATCTGCTAGCCTGCCATTATAAACAGTTTTACCCAGTCCACAGTTCACCAAAAGCAAATAAATTATAACGCCAGACTATCGATGTAAATGTCTGTTGAGAGAATAATGTCAGAAATCAAACTATTGGATTGCAATACACTGTGAAAAATATATATTTCAAGATTTGTTATCACAACGTTTTTTCTTTTGTCAAATCAACTTAAATAATTTATTTACTTTTGAGTTTTTGAGGATTAAATCAATCTCCTTTATTGTATTAACTCACTTTTTCCATTTGAAAAAACTTAAAATTAAGGCAACCAGGTTACTTCATTTTTTAAGTTAAACCAACATTATTTTTTACTTTGTTCCTTCCCTGTATTTATTAGGACAGTCTACAGCAGCGGCAGAGTGATATGTGGTTACCTAGGCAACCGAGAGAGGTAGAGAGGTAGTGAAAG